CTTTGGGACGAGGGAACCGGAACTGCTAAAATGCTAACTCGCTTCCGGGTTTTTGCATACAAATTGACGTCATAGTTCCTCCACTCTATTGGGATGACTCTGCAGTGGGAGTGCATTTCCATAAAATCTAATAAACCATCTCTAAAATGTTTGAAACTCAAACTCTAACTTCTAACTAATAATTCCCTGATTCAAATGATTAAGGGACAAAGATTTTCCAGTTAATGATTTACTTTTTCAAATGATTCAGAGAGTCTCCATTTAATGATTCAATGTTTCAAATGATTCAGCGAATAAATAATCAATAAATAAATAAGGTGCAGCCTACAAAATGTATTCGTTGTTCTGAGCTCATTAAGATGGTGCAGAAGTGTGTTAAACATAGCTTTTCTGACCTCTACCTACACCCTTCGTAGCTGTCACAGTAAACCCATCACAGCCCTTCCAAATTAAACAGTGAATGACTCACTGAGTCAAATGATCTGATGAGTGAGTCTTCAGATTCAGATTAAATGATCCAGTCAGATTGACGGTGCATTTTTAAACTGAACTTCCTAACTAGTATGCAAAAAAAAAAAGTATAATGATAAAGTCATAGTATTCGAAAATGATCTGGCTAAAATAGTATTGTTATGTAAGATGAAATACCGTCGCTAAAACATTTCAGGACACTTTAATTCAGCAAAGATGTATTAAATTGGTAAACAAGTGACAAAACAGATCATCATAATGCTACTAAGGATTTTCCTGTCAAATAAATACAGTCGCTTTGAGTTTGATCAAACAGAAAATGGAAACAGCACAACTGGTAACCACATTAATAATAGCAAATCATATTATTATACTGAATTGTAAAGAATCTAGTTATATTGAAGACGGTAACTTAAGTTTAGGTCACAATTCATGCTATTAACTACTGGCTTATTCTCTGTATTATATTATATTATATTATATTATATTATATTATATTATATTATATTATATTATATTATATTAGCTGTTTATTAGTAGTTATAAAATATGATCTAATTCTGCATTCCTAACCCTACCCAAAAGCTAAAGGGTGAGGCCCTGGCTGCGCAATACCTGGCGAAATTACAGTCCTCTGTGTTATTAAGCTCATAAGGGGTTTTTGAACCGCACTTAGTCTGACCTGTCACCTAAGACCTTTTGGCCTCAGGAGACCCTAGGGGCATTAGTCCGAGACAACATAGCTCTTATGCTGTGTTCAAACCAGATGTGGCAAGCGCAGATAAGTCACGCTATTCACACATAAAAAGACACATGCACATTGAGTTTACTCGCTTCATTCGCACATCAAATTCGCTTCATTTGTGTGTCAAATTCACTTCACAACAGGCGCAGATTCGCATGATGGGCAGGGCTTCTCTCTGCCCGGTGATTCTAGCTTCGTAGCTAAATGGCAGATTTTGAGAGAGTTCATGTGCTTTATAAAGGCCGACAAACAGCATCTATTCGTTTGAAACCTTGTCTGAGTCCACTAGATCATTTCAGAGGATCAACCAGCTCATAAACTCTTCCAGAAACTTTATGGAAGCTGACTAAGCCAAGCCCAGTTGATGAGCTGTTGTCTGTTGTCGACAGGAGGATTTTCCTCTGGGACACCAACAACAGGCGCTACATCATAATCACGCCCCCACAAGAGCAAGCTCCTGATTGGTTAACGCGGCGTAAATGTCCACTGAAGTTTAGATTTTCAAACCCCCACAAGAGCAAGCTCCTGATTGGTTAACGCGGCGTAAATGTCCACTGAAGTTTAGATTTTCAAACCCCCACAAGAGCAAGCTCCTGATTGGTTAACGCAGCGCAAATTTGCACTAAAGTTTAGATTTTCGTTGTTGGGACACCAACAACAGGCCCTACATCATAATAACGCCCCCACAAGAGCAAGCTCCTGATTGTTTAACGCAGCGCGAATGTCGACTGAAGTTCAGATTTTCTAACTCGAGCGATTTGCGCGAAACTGGAGCCTTAAAGTGTGTCAATCGCACAAAACGCTCAACTCGCGCCACTTCATGCGCGCGAATTGCGTCATTTGCATCGCCTCATTCGCGCATATTGCGCCGCAGATCACATCTTGCATTTACTTAACATGTAAATCCCTCGCGTTTGACACTTCCGCGTCAGGTGTGAACGCAACATTAGGATTATACCTGAAAAAGGTGGTTTGCCATCTCCAGGTTGTAGGGAAGTCCTTACCTCAGGTAGAGGAGTTCAAGTATGCAGTAATGCGGCTGATGTATCAGTCTGTTGTGGTAAAGAAGGAGCTGAGCCGAAAGGCAAAGCTCTAAATTTACCGGTCAAACTACATTTCTACTCTCACCTATGATCATGAGCTTTGGGTCATGACCGAAAGAACAAGATCTCGGATACAAGTGGTGAAAATGAGTTTGCTTAGCAGGGTGGCAGGGCGCACAGTTAAAGATAGGGTGAGGAGCTCTTTCACTCGGGACGAGCTCGGAGTAGCACAGTTGTTCCTCCACATTGAGAGAAGTCAGCTGAGGTGGCTAAGCCTCCCAGTACATGCTGGAGGGGCTATGTTTCTCGGCTAGACTGGGAACACCTCAGGATCCCCCCAGAGGAGCTGGAGGAAATGTCTGGGGAGATGAATGTCTGGGGTTTGCCTGGCCCCTGAAAAGCGGACACGAATGAATGAATGAATGAATGAATGAATGAATGAATGAATGAATGAATGAATTTACAATACTACTTTTTTAATAATAAAATATCAGGGGTCGCATACAGTGTAGTATGTAAGATTATACAGTATAATGTAAAAGCTATATTTTAACACATTTTAATTGAGACATTTAGTGTAGTTAGTGCAGACACTTAGTGCAGTCGTCTACATTTCATTCCAGAACCTATGAGATCAGTAAGAAATTGAACAAAATCAACAGTTATTAATGGTGTAAAATCCATGTGTTTGTGAGGTTTTCATGCATTTTAATTTAAACCAAATGTTTCTGCATCCCCTAACTGAAAACCACTGATCTACTGTTCTCAAAACAGAGTGAGAGTTCATGCATAATGAATCTTCCTGCGCATGAAGTGCTTTGAGACCATTATGTTAATTAATTCCACAAGTCCGCGCATTTTTGCCATTTCCTAATTCAAGTGTATCGATTTTATAATGTTTCTCGCTGGCTCTGAAATCCTGGAGCTTCAGGTAAGGTGTCTAAACAGCCATCTCTCACTAGTGTGCTTGTGTGAACTGTGAAAGCAGTGCGATTCAAATGCAGAGCGTGTTAGATTTCGCTCTCCGCCTGAAAATCGGCGCTGACGTTCACCTCCTCCAGCTAGAGGAGCAATCTATTTCATCCCCCCGTTCATTTAATTGACTGATTGTCACGTTGTATCACAGGCTAAGCAAGCACAGGGTGGTGTAAAGGACAGCGGTTGGACACTGCACCCTGCTCCCACTGTCTCTAATGAGATATTAATGATCGAAACCATCACTCGCGAAAGCTCCAGCGTGCTTCGAGACCACATGAGAATCAGCGCTTATGAAACAGCGACACACAGTGGCCGAGAGGTGAATTGCAACCTAGTGTCTATGTCTAGACTGGAACAGGACAATTCTGTTCTCAAAATACAAAGTTTAGAAGTTATATGTGAATCTATACAGCAAAAACAGCACTTGTTAATAGCGAATTGTGCTTAAATCATTATAGTCCATAACTACTTGGTAACTAAATGAAGATTAATTTCCAATCGATGATTTTTGGCTGTTGGTTGTTTGAATATTTTAGATGACTACCTTGAATGTAAAAGGCACTATATAGTGCAAATCTGTAGTGTAAAATGTAATAATGCATTTAAATTAATATTTGTTTCGCATAATTGTTTATTCACATATTTATGTAGTTTTTAAACTATATTGTTATACTTTCTTTATTGTCCACAAGTGGAAATTTATCTTTGGCTTTACCTCACAACCACATCAGCGTTCACATTACACATATCACAGAAAAACAGGCAACACAAATACATAAATCACTTGAAAAATCAATTTAACCCTATTCATACTTCGAACCCAGTATTTAAAATTCTGATGGCATTCTGCATTTGATACATATTTTTCTTTACTTTGCCTAAAACGTCTTTTTGATGACAAGAAATGTTATATTTTGAGGAATGGTAACAATCTTCAATAATCAGACCCGTAGCCAGGGGGGTTTGGGGGGTTCGACAGACCCACTCCTCACAGTTTTTGCTTTTCCCTACTTGGCAACAGTTCATACCATGCAATCATGTTAAAACTCACAACACTTTCAACCAAATTCTTATATGTCATCTCTAGAATTTATATTTAACATTAAATAGTATACTATAAATATAAATAGTGTACAATTAATATAAATATAATATAAATATTTTACTTAAACTGTTAAGTTGATTTATTAGTATATTCTGAAATTAAATACTATAAAATTCATTAAGAATGCAAAAAAATAAAAATAAAAAATATCACAAAATTAAAAAATATATATATAAATATATATGCTGAAACGATGCTATATCTTGTGTATAAATCTATGGATAGTTTCAATATATTAGCGCGATTTCCCTTTAAACACATGATTTATGGATATTGAGCTTGATACTTGTAAATAATTTTGCATTTATTCCAGTTTGTTATTGTTATCCAGGTATTAAAAATATTTTCCTCTCTAAACTGCATAAAACTAAGACATATCTCGTACAACTATTAATATTTACTCACCCTCTGTTTGCTGAAGATGCTGTTCTTTCATAGAAGCAATATTATTGTAAAGTACGACGTTTTAGCTACTCTAACACCGTTACAGACAGCAAAATCAAACATATATTACGTTTGGTTCGAAAAAAAAAGAAATAGACCACGAAATAGTCTTAATTATTAACCGAGTAAACGTTTAATCAAAACTCCTCCATAAACTACTACACCTGTTCGGGAAACTAAACTGCATTTCCCGTCAGCCCCTGCTTCACGTGCCACTTGTCATATGACTCACACGGAAAACAAGAAAGCTTCCAGCGAGATATAAATGACAGCAATTAAGCTGCGAGAACAAACAACAAAGCGATTATTCATAACAAATCGGTCAGGAACTATCATGCTGCTCCAATAACTCTTTAAAGCTTTTGTCTGCCGCAAATCTGATGATGGATTTGATGCGTATAATCGCGTTGTGTGCACTGATCGCAGCTCATTGTGTTGGTGCATCGCCACCGAACTTTGTGCTGCTGTTCGCCGATGATTTGGGTTACGGAGATCTTGGCTGTTTTGGACACCCGTGCTCTCTCACCCCAAATCTGGACAGACTAGCGGCCAACGGGCTGCGCTTTACCGACTTCTACGTCACGAGTCCCGTGTGCAGCCCCTCCAGGTAAAGCCAGGTCAAACATAAGATGGAATATATGGGCAATTTATCTATTTGAATGGGTAAATGTTATATTCACAACTGTAAATTTTCCTTAGACTTACCTAATTTGCTGAATTTTTTGTGGCTTAAGTTGTTTAATAACTACATTACAAAATGTTTATAGTAAAAAAATGTTAAAACTTAAACTCTATAAGAATTTTGTAAATATTTGGTTATATAACTTGATGATTTTGCCCCTGTACTTTGTTTTTTTCATTATTAGTATTATTTATTTTCTTATTATTTAATCTTCATTGTTTTCCTGTTTTTGCATTTGATGTCATCCAATGTCATGGTTATTAATATGAATGTATTGTTAAAAAGCTGGCCCATGGTAACCTTTGATTTGGTCCATCTGAGAAAAGATGGAGAATGAAAAGAGGGAGGATGGTTTAGAGACTGTAATTTCTAATTTAATGTAACATTTTTTTGTTTGATTGATTTATTGCTTAGTTACAAAAAAAACTAGCCCAAATATTTAATGTTTCAATGAAATGTAAAAAAATCAGATTTTGTTTTAAATGCACATACTGTCACCCAACTTATAGAGGACAATGCAGAGACATCAGTGAGCAAATGAAGGAAATGGCAAATTCTGCTTGACTAGTGTATTCAGCATTGATCTCCGTTGTGTTATAAATGTTTTTTTTATTATTAGTAGTATTATAATAAGTTATCATTTCAAATTATACTGTATTAGTTAATGTGAGTTAAAGTAATGTTTTCAATATATTTATTTTTTTAAACTTTCGGTCCCCGGCTCTCAATTATATTTGGTTTTTGGCACTTAATACGAAAAGGTTTGGGCAACCCTGATTAAAACCAATACAAAAAAAAGGTAAAGCCAGAAATTCATCTGACATTCAGCCAGATATATACTTTAAGTATTGTTTTATACTTTCATTATTATGTACTTATTGTTACTTTCAAAATTACTGTCCATGTATTCATTTCAAGACCACTCTGTTATAAAATATCCAGGACTGAATCTTATGAATACTACACTGACAAAAATGATTCATTGGGTTTACTAAATGTTTTAGTGTTATTTGAATCATGTATTTCATTATATTTAACATTATTATTGCAAAATTATTGCATTATAATTGAGAGAGAGAGAGAGAGAGAGAGAGAGAGAGAGAGAGAAAGAGAAAGAGATTAGCTTTTTTTCAATGTCTATCAAAATGTTTTAGGTATACTGATTTGATTTCTTTTTAACAAGCTGTTATTATATATACATGAACCAGATTTCATCCATTTTTAAATAACCTTCCATCTAGTTGGTACATGTAGCCTACATGTATACTGTATGTGGTATGTGCATGCATAATAACTAAATAATCTAATCAGTTCAACAATAAATAACTGACATTATTTAATAGTCAGAAAGAAAAAAAATTATAATATAAAACAGTTTAGACCAGCATTATATACATAGCTATAATTAGTATTTAAAACAGTAAAATGTTTTATTCAATAACAATATATTTCTAATAATATATATATATATATATATATATTAATAATTTACTCCAGGCTCGTCTGAACAGTTTTGTTTTCTTTGCTTGTGACTGTCAATAATGTCCTTTGATTTGTTGTCGAACTGATTAGATTTGTTATATAATCAAGGATTTTACATAATCCGTAATTAAAAATTATGTGTCTGGTACAGAAGATGGCGCCAGAATACAGGCTAATATTTACAGCCTTCGTCATGAACTGGAATATTCATTTAACTGAATATTCCAATAAAACAACACAGCATTATGAAATACCATGCAGTTTATGTGAATTTTTGTTTATGCTTTAAAACGTACATTTACCAAAATGTAGTCTGTAATATATACTGAATGATAAACGCTGACCTTACATTTTGTTTATGATGAATGAAGCAAGATTAATATCAGCCTGCCAACAATTTATCAAACTAACAGTAACACTTAAGGGTCCATTAGTTAATGTATCAGGGTTTCTGCAGGGTCTTAAAATGTCTTAAATTTCAAAAAGCAAATTTTAGGCCTTAAAGTCTTAAATCCACTGAAATGTTGTGTTGTAGGCCTTAAATCATTTTAAACTTAATTTTCCTACGTCCATGTAAAGCTATACCCAATCAGGTCAACAGCCATCCAATCCCTAACCATATATATCAATAAAATGTTGAGAAACGTTTATTTATTAACTCTAATTATTAATATGGATTAATTATTGTCTTTACAATAACATCTGCTTTTAATGCTTTTTTTTTTACAGTTTTATCTTGACCATTAAAAAATCGTTAGCGTTTAGCCTTGTGCAAGTCTACAATTTTATTCATTATGGCTTAATAAGGTCTTCAAAAGGTCTTAAATTTGACTTGATGAAACCTGTAGAAACCCTGTGTATTTACTAGCATTCATATGGATTAATTATCTTCCTTACAAAAACATGTTTTTAATGCTTTTTTACAGTTTTATCTTGACCATTAAAAATCTTTAGCATTTAGCCTTCTGTAAGTCTAAAATTTCATTCATTATGGTCTTAAAATGGTCTTTAAAAGGTCTTAAATAGTCTTAATTTGACTTGATGAAACCAGTAGAAACCCTATGTATTTACTAGCATTAATATGGATTAATTATCGTCCTTACAAAAACATGTTTTTAATGCTTTTTTTACAGTTTTATCTTGACCATTTTTAAAACATCTTTAGCGTTTAACCTTTTGTAAGTTTGAAATTTCATTCATAATGGTCTTTAAAAGGTCTTAAAAAGGTCTTAAATTTGACTTGATGAAACCTGTAGAAACCCTGTGTATTTACTAGCATTAATTAAATAAAAAATCTTGTACAGTATTTATTAATAATCATAGTTCAACATTAACTAATGCATTATTAATATCCAAAGTTGTACTTGTTAACAAAGCACCATGAGTTACTATGTTATTTAACTTAACATTAACTAACAAAGATAAATAAATAATGTATTAACCCTTTAACAAGCATCATAACCACCTGGTTAATCTTTCATTGGGGATTATTATTATTATTATTTTAATTGCTTATTACTATTTATCAGAGTTGTGTCAGTGTATTTTTCAATAGAAGATGTGGGCCAAAAAAGATTGTTTTCAAAGAGTGCACCTTAAAGGGTTAAATGTATCACTAATAGTTTGTTCATGTTAGTAAATGCATGTAGTAACATTAACTAATGGACCATTTTTTTCCAATCTAACATACAGTATTCTGTTTTACATACTTTTTGCTCCAGGGCTGCATTGCTGACGGGCCGCTATCAGACTCGCTCTGGGATTTATCCAGGTGTGCTGTATCCGGGCTCAAGAGGCGGTCTCCCTCTCAACGAGACCACCATAGCCGAGGTGCTGAAGACTCAGGGTTACTCCACAGCAATAGTCGGAAAGTGGCATCTGGGAGTAGGGCTGAACGGCACCTACCTGCCCACCCGGCACGGCTTTGACAGTTATCTCGGTATCCCATACTCACATGATCAGGTACCTATATTTTCTTTTGTCATACAGAATCTGATCTGCAAATCAACAAGGAAATTGCATAGCCTTCTTTTTATTTTATTTATACAAATGTTTTACACAATAATTACATTGAAACAAATGATTAATTTCAGTGCAAGTACATATTAGTTAAGACCACCTAATGTAAAGTGGCACAAACAAAGTCTCATTTAATATTCTTTGCTCATATTGTCTTTGCACAATGTTTAAGGCATGATTTCTCTATTATAGGGTCCCTGTCAGAATCTGAGCTGCTTCCCTCCGGATGTGAAGTGTTTTGGCCTGTGTGATCAGGGTGTTGTGACTGTACCTCTCCTGTTTAATGAGATTATCAAGCAGCAGCCTGCAGATTTCCTCCAGCTGGAGAAAGCCTATGGTGAATTCGCCTCTCAGTTCATCAGTGACTCTGTCAAGGACAATCGCCCATTCTTCTTGTACTATCCTTCACATGTGAGTCAAGAACAGTTACCTTTATCAGAATACATCTCTACACTCGTATGCAACATCTCAAAATATACTCACTCAGTTTAGCAGTTAAGTGATATACACTACCTGACAAAAGTCTTGTCGTGGATCCCAGTTGTAAAAGCAACAAATAATAACTTGACTTCTAGTTGATCATTTCTAAAAGTGGCAGAAGGTAGATTTTTCTGATGAATCATCTATTGAACTGCATCCCAATCATCACAAATACTGCAGAAGACCTACTGGAGCCCGAATGAACCCAAGATTCTCATAGAAAACAGTCAAGTTTGGTGAAGGAAAAATCTTGGTTTGGGGTTATATTCAGTATGGGGGTGTGCGAGAGATCTGCAGAGTGGATCTCAACATCAACAGCCTGAGACATTTTGTGCTGCTCATTACATTATAAACCAACAGGAGAGGGCAAATTTTTCAGCAGGATAGCGCTCCTTCTCATATTTCAGCCTCCACATCAAAGTTCCTGAAAGCAAAGAAGGTCAAGATGCTCCAGGATTGGCCAGCCCAGTCACCAGAACACCACTAAGAACATTATTAAGCATGTCTGGAGTAAGATGAAGGAGAAGGCATTGAAGATGAATCTGAAGAACCTTGATTAATTCTGGGAGTCCTGCAAGAATGCTTTCTTTGTCATTTCAGATGACTTTATTAATAAGTTATTTGAGTCATTGCAGACATGTATACATGTATGTCATACACAATATTAAGTCTTTTTCCACTGCAGCATGACTTCATATTCTATACTGGACATTATTTGTGTTAAGTGACAAGACTTTTGTCTAAGCAAAGTCAGACCTTACTGTTCTAATTAAATAAATAAAAATCAAGGCATGATCATATTTTATTTTGGAAAATTGGATAGGCGACAAGACTTTCGTCAGGTAGTGTACTGTATATAAAAATGTAAAGTGATATACTAGCATATGTGGAATAAATCGGGAAATAGAAAAATATTATGTATTGATTCTTGAGAGAGTTGAGGAAATCTAAAGAGGAATACAAAATATGTCCATCTTAATATTGCTTCATGAAAACATTCTAATGCCTCATTGTATAATTTATTATAAAACAAACTAAAATAAAACTATTAACATTGTCATTAATGACATATATAATATAATATAATACAATATATATAAAATAATGTAATATAATTATATATATATATATATATATATATATATATATATATATATATATATATATATATAAATAATATAATATAATATAATATAATATAATATAATATAATAGGTTGTTTGGACTATAGAGAGTCTTGATGATGACTGGCTATTGGCTGATTAACTCCACAATTCACTCTTCCATGGTAACAAGGTCTATTCGGATCGGATAATTCAAACAGGATTGTGGGTAATGTGGTTTTACTTGCAAATTCGGCAATTACCATAATTTATAAAAATAATTTAAATAATTAATGACTAAATAATAAATTTCCTTTTCCATTGTAACATTGATGTCTCTGATTGGATGATCAGTGGTTGTGTGGATAGTGTTGTTTGTAATGGAGAATTCGGAAATGAACCTGATTTAATTAAATAAAAGAATTAAAAGATATGATTCTTTTACTTGTCTACTTTAAAATGACTTTTCTGATGAGATGATTGAAAGAGGATTGTGGGTAGTTTTTATTTGCTTTTTATTTTATTGTAGTTTATCATTAAGAATTAACATTAATAAGTAAAATATATATATATATATATAATTAATGAATAAGATTAAAAAAAAGTTGGGAAATGGGAATAACACATTTTGATTGAATAATCAAAAGAGGATTGTGGGTAATGCAGTTTGCCATAAAAAAATGTAGTCACCATTATTTAATTTCTAAATTAAATATATTCTAAATTTAGATGTATTCTAAATTTAATAAATTAAGAAAAAAAGATGATTAAGTAATGCATTTATTTTCCCTGGTAACAGTGACTTTTCTGATTGGACAATTGACAGAGGATTGTGGGTAGTGTAGTTTTTCATTCATAATTCTACAATTAAACCAGTTTCAGTTAATAATTTAAACTAATGAATAATACATAATGGTTAAATGCAGGTTTTTTTATGGTAACAGTGATTTTTCTGTCTTCATGGTCTAAGCAGTATTGTAGGCAGTGTGGTGTTGTTTTTCTGAAGGTTTCACGCAATCTTAGACCTCATAATAGGTCCTTCTGAAAAGATTTGAATAATATATATTTAAATAGGACTTTTACTTCAACTTTTACCTTGACCCATATTTGTCTGTCTCCTCCAGCACACACACTACCCTCAGTATGCGGGTGCAGATTACGCAGGCAAGTCTCCGCGTGGGCCGTTCGGTGATGCTCTGATGGAGTTTGATGGCACTGTAGGGAAGATTCTGCAGACTCTGGAAGAAACGGGTGTCATCAACAACACTCTCATCTTCTTCACTGGTGACAACGGGTCAGTGTCGCTTGAGTCTTTCTTTTTGACTGTTTATATTTTCTTGACATCTACTGCTAAAAGCAAAAACATCAGCCCTTCTCTGAAATTTGTATTCTTTTTCAAAATGTGCTCCAATTCAAAGGGCTCTTTTATGAAGAGAAGAAAATAACTAAATACTCATTTCTCTAGTTTTTTCTATGATGACAGTACATAATATTTCACTAGCTATTTTGCAAGAATCTAGTATTCAGCTTTAAGTGCAATTTTAAGGCATAATTGGGTTCATTTGGCTTTACTTGGGGAGTTAGATTAATTATGAAAGTCATTAGATAACAGTGCTGGCCAATAATTGGATAAGGGGGCTGAAATATTTGATTCCTTAATATTCATAAACTCCACAAAAGAAAAATACATAATAGGAAACACTGTGAAATATAGTTAGGCTAAGTTAAATGGTCGGATAAATTTTAAAATTTATGAAAATTTCACTGAAGGAAGTACACTTCATATACTGATACCCAAGTTTATTTTACCATTCCCAAATGCAATAGCTATTATTCATTTTGCATATAATAAGTCATTAATATTTGTAAAGGAAGACTAGAAGAAAATTTATGTGAAAATGTAATTAGCATTTATTAATTTCTATTCAATCTATTCACTTAGTTAAAGTTAGATCTAGTTTTGGGGCCTTTTTATCTGTAAAAGAAAACATACTTAATAGTTGAGTTCTTCTGAGATCTCGTTAATAGTTATCTTGTTAATGTGACGCCTGTGGTGAGACGCACAGTAAAAGTGTAGTTATCTTATTTGATTTATTTATGTATTATTATTATTGTATTTATGTAATGTTTTATTATTTATTTTTACTATTATTATGTTCTGTATGTGTGTGTTTTTTGATTATTTATTGAGTCTTATATTATTTATCTGTATTTACTGGATTTATTAAAGCAACATCTAATGACAGCCACTGCCGCTGTTGGGGAGGGAAATGGGATGTTAAAAGGAGGTACAAAATTGTAAACTCATTGTACTGTTAAGTTAATGAAGAAAATAAAAACTAAATCATCATAAAAAATATTTTGTGACCCAGTGGTCCTACTGCAAACAACCTGGTCTAAGCAGGGATCGGACCAGCGATTCTGTGCATGGGAGTCGGTTGCTCTAACAAGGAGGCTAAAGTCCATGGCCTCTAGCATCTGTCATTAGTGCACCTTTACAGGTCAGAGGTTAGAGGTTTACCTGTATAGCACTTGGCTAGCTGGCCTTAATTACACTCACCACCCTAATCCTCACTCCCATCCCTGACAAGCCTCCACATGTAAACCGCTAATCCTACTGCACCCAACCTGCTCTGATCTGGGATCGAAACTCCCTCCATCGGCCCTTACCCATCATGGCCTCCCAATCATCCCCATCCACCGAATTGGATCATAGCTCTCATCCAAGAGGATGCTGCACACTGGTGGTGGTGTGGAGAGACCCCTCTCATGATTGTGAAGCACTTAGGATGTATGGCCGTACACAAAAAATGCACTACCTGCTCTGATCTGGGATTGAACCCGCAATTCTGTGCATGGGAGTCCTTTGCTCTAACAAGGAAATTAAGGAACATGGTCTCTAGAGTCTGTCGCTACGTCACTTATTAATGATAAAATACTGATTACAGATGCGCTGCAAAATATGATTTTCTTATATTGTTTTGTCTTGCTTTTAGTCCAAATATTGTAATAATCTTAAATCAAAAAGCATTTTCTAGATGAGCAAAAATACAGTTTTGTTTTTAAGAAATAAGGGGTCTGTTCTTCATACCTCGCTTAAATGATCTAAGATGATTTGGCAGATCCTGGATCTGTTCATCTGGATGAACTGATCTGAGATCCCTGTGTGTGTTGTGAAGGACAGACCTATCGATGCTCAAAATCATGATCAGCAATGCAACGATTGGCTGACGGCACAGATGCGTAATGACATCTTATAACTAATATTCAATTATCCATGTGAGCAAAATTACAGAAAATTAATGGTTTGTTAAATATGATAAAAAGCTGCATGCTTTGGCCCTTTCATGTGTCAAAATCAATTTATTTAGTTTTACCAGAGCGGATTTTCCTTATTATAGTAGCCATAGTAGTATCATTGTAGCCGTTTTAATAATCGGTGTAATGAATAATTGGATGTTTACTGAAGCATTTTGATATTGGTAAAGGTGTCTGCACAAGTCTTGTACTTTCATTTCGGGGTGCAGATTGCATAAGTTTTAATAATATATACAACTTTATTTAATTAATAACTATATATATACATATATATATAGTTAAAAAATATTTACTATTTTCCCAAGTGTATATAACTACTACTGTAAGAAAATATCAGAATTCGGTACATACTTTCTGTATTATCTCTGCTTGAACTGAGCTGATCTAATCCTGTTTATATGAATTAAACCTGCTCCCGACCAGGTTTGAGCTACCAGGACTGTTGCTATGACAACAACTCTCAGATCAGTTTTGAAGAACGAAACGATCCTGGATCATGTCAAATTGTCAATAACCAAATCCAGCTAACTGATTAATCCACATCCGAAGAACTGACCCAAGATGTCAACATGAAGTGAGTTTTTCCTTAAAACAATCAAAATAATCTGCCAATGGGGCAAGCAAATTAATCTTGTTTTCCCTTAAGGCATTAGATTATTTTGTTCACCCCACTGGCAGATTAGTTTGCTTGTTCAAAGGAAAAACTCGCCTATTTCTGGCACATTATCTTAAAAACCAAACAGTATTTTTGCGTGTCTATAAAATCCTTCTTGTTTTAAGAATTTTACAATATTTGGGCTAAAAACGAGACAAAACAAGTAAGTATAAGTAGGTGAAACATTTTTAGTCTTTAATAATTATTGACATGCTGTGTTTCCACTGCAGGCCAGAGCTGATGCGCAAGTCTCGTGGGGGGAACGCAGGACTGATGAAATGTGGTAAAGGCACAACATATGAAGGAGGAATGAGAGAGCCGGCCATCGCGCACTGGCCTGGATTCATCAAACCAGGTGCTGAGAGATACATTCTGCATGCAGCTAAAATAAATTCTGTGGTTATGAATGCAGGACGTTGTGTTTGTATGCTTTCCCATCACTCAAAGGTGTCACTCGTGCTCTGGCCAGCTCTTTGGACATTCTGCCTACCTTCGCCAAACTGGCCGGAGCTCCCTTACCTGAGGTGCAGCTGGATGGGGTGGAGATGACAGACATCCTGTTCAACCTCGGACCGGTACGAGACCAAACTATGGAAATAAAGTTATAGGCCTGAAAATATATTTTGAGTTAGCTTTGGAAGATTTAGTTTTGTTTTTCCTGTCTGAAAATTCTCCATTATTATTTAAAAAATTATAATAATTTTACAAAATATTAAATATATTATTATAAATATGCAATAAGAAGAAAAACCTACTTGTGCGTTTTATTTTGATGCTATATTTGACAAATATTTTAAAGGGAAATGTTTTAAAAGGTGTCTTCTGGAGGAATTTAAAAATAATTATCATTATTTAAACTAAAGGATTGTATATGACTCTTTTCAGTATTGTTGTTATTTGTATTGGGTTTTTGTACAATTAATGTTTATTAAAAACACATTATGATTGCATATTGTACATTTTAAAATGTATTCAAACATCATTGTTTCACTTGGTCTGACGCTCCTTACTAACTTTGTTGATTTCTGGATTGCTTTGGTCATCATGTCTCTGAACTGTTTGGCCCCTTAAATGCTTGTTGCAGCTATATTTAGTATAGGTTTTGTCATGAAGATAGTCATTGCTGCTGATACATACATACAATTTAAAATATCTGTTGATTTTAATGATGAGTGATTTAACGCTGTGATTTCAGCATCTTTACCCCAGTCTTCAGTGTCAAATGATCTTTCAGAAATAAAACTAATAAGCTTAATTGGTTTTCAAGAAGTATTGTTTAGTATTATTAGTTTTGCTGCTTAATATGTTTATGAAAACAGTGATAATTGTTTTTTTTTTAATCTGGTTTCTATCAGGATAATAGAGGATGCAAACTGTTGTTATGCTGAATGACATTTCAGAGGGTGTCTTCTGTACTGTAAATAATGGTAAAAAAATTTTAATGAAAAAATATATATAATAATAATAATACATTTTATTTAAAGGCAGCATTCTAGCAACTCAAGGACCCCGTACAATCAAAAAGAAAAATACAACAACTAGAAAAATAATAAAATATGCACAGCAATAGTCCAAATTAAGTATTAAATGTCATCTTAAATGAGTGGGTTTTGAGTCTTGATTTGAATAGTGTGAGGGATTCAATGTTTCTGATATATATATATATATATACAAAGTTGAGGAAATAAGCCATTTTTGCCTTGTTACTGTCATTTCAGAGTAAAAGACAGACCATGTTTTACTACCCCACTGATCCAAGTGTGAAGTATGGTGTGTTTGCAGTGAGATGGGAAAATTTCAAAGCACATTACTACACTCGGGGTAAGTACACCATTTTTGCACCCTATAAATAAACCATCCATATTAGAATATATCCTATATCTGATACAGTGTTAAACAAGTTTATTATCCCTCCTGTGAAACTTTCATTCTTTTTCAAATATGTTCCAAGTGATGATAAACACAGCAAGGACATTTTCACAGTACTTCATATGATATTTTTCCTTCTGGAGGAAGTCTTATTTCTTTTAGTTTGGCTAGAACAAAAAGATTGCTAATTATTTTTTTATATTATTTCCCCCTTAGGATTTTTTTTGTTTCGATTGGCTACAGAACAAACTACTGTCATCCAATAAACTGCCTAGTTAAACTTAGTCAAGTCTTTAAATGGCACTTTAAGCTGAATGCTTTAATTAGCATCTAGCTAAATAACTAGCAAATATAAATCAATTGCTAGATTTTAGGTATTAAAACTATTATGTTTAGAAAAAAAATCTCTGTTAAACAGCACTTGGGAAATATTTGAAATAGAATTTAATTTGACAGGAGAGCTTCAACTGTATGTCTTTTGACCCATAATTCAGGCGCAGCTCACAGCGAGTCAACCCCGGACAACAGCTGCTCATTACTGGCCTTCCTCAAGTATCACGACCCCCCTTTACTCTTTAACCTGGAAACAGACCCGTCTGAAAACTATAACCTTGACGGCGATCAATGGGACGCTGTCCGCAAGCAAATCCAGGCTGTCAAGCAGCAGTTTGAGGCGTCTATGGTGTTTGGAGAGAGTCAGATATCCAAAGGCATTGACTCTTTACTCGAGCCCTGCTGCATTCCTAATTGCAGACCGAAACCTGAATGCTGCCGCTGCAATTCTGCACTTTAATGGCCCGCACACTGCCAGATGCCAACATTATACAGCACAGTAACATAACATTACAGTAGGGATGTAACGATGAATGCAGTTGAAAATTTATTCATATCGGTTGAGATGCCTAACAAATAGTGATATCTTTTTTTTTTTACAAGACTGTTATGATGCATTTAACAGTCATCAGTATCTTAAATCCTGGAAAGTTTTTAATATTTTAAGCTTCATTCATTCATTTTTTTGTCGGCTTAGTCCCTTTATTAATCTGGGGTCGCCACAGTGGAATGAACCGCCAACTTATCCAGCAAGTTTTTACGCAGCGGATGCCCTTCCAGCCGCAACCTATCTCTGGGAAACATCCACACATACACACACACTCATACGTGTGTGTGTATGAGTCATACTACGGACAATTTAGCCTACCCAATTCCCCTTTACGCATGTCTTTGGACTGTGGGGGAAACCGGAGCACCCCCACGCGAACGCAGGGAGAACATGCAAACTCCACATCGAACCAGCGACCCAGCGACCTCCTTGCTGTGAGGCGAATGTGCTACCCACTGCGCCACTGCGTCGCCCATATTTTAAGCTTATGAACATTTATATGTATATATGCATGTATTATATCATCTTTGCGTCAAATTACAAAAAATCGAATGACCTAATGCAAGGTGTTTGTAACGCTGATTGTATGTACAGGACAGTAAGAGGCACTTCAATAATCACACGCATGTTATTATCATCAGCTTGAAGAAGTTCGCTATTTCAGATATAGATGCGCAGCGAGCGCACACAAGCTCTCTGGAGAAAGTGAAATTACTCGCGCTTTAAGACGGCCTCTTAAAACAAAAACAAGACACGGCAGGACATGGCTGTTCATTAAGGCTACGAAAAGATTTGTTTGAGTTCGGTGAACCATGGCTTGTTATGGCTGGGTATTTAAAAATGGCACTTTCTTTGTTTTCATTCTCCTGGCTTGTGTAAGTGTAACGGAGGCCAGCTAATAAGTGCTGTGCAGCAAACCTCACTCCTCTGACCTCTAAAGGTGCCCTAGTAACAGACGCTAGAGGCCATGGTCTTTAGCCTCCTTGGTAGAGCAACTGTCTGACATTGCGGAAGATCGCTGGTTTGATCCCAGCTCCGAGCGGGTTGGGCGGTGTAGGACCGGTGGGGTTACATTGGTGCCGTGAACCGGTTGGGAGTGAGGTTTAGGGGGGTGAGTGTACTGGAGGCCAGCTAGTAAGTGCTGTAATGTTAACCTCACTCCACTGACCTCTAAAGGTGCTCTAGTGACAAACGCTAGAGGTCATGGTCTTTAGCCTCCTTGGTAGAGCAACCGACTCCCATGTGGAAGAGTGCTGCTTTGATACCAGCTCGGAGCGGGTTGGGTGGTGTAGGACCAGCAGGGTTACATATGCGCTATTGACATTTCTCTGTAAATCAAAAGCATTCATCTGCGCGTCTAGCTCTGCCTTTATGTAGCCAAAAAGCAGTATGGGATAGTTTGCTTTTTGGTACCTTTTGAAGTAAACGGACATTAGGATGTACTAACCCCTACCGAACCGTATCACTCAGTGTAAACGGGCCATATGTATAAGGTTGTTCTCTGTTCTGCCTCAGTTATCAGTCTCACACTATTTACTTTTATTTGTTTACTTTTTCTGAAAGTCTAGATAACACCATTGTAGTTTTTAATTTATTATCTCAGCAAATAGGAATTTTAAAAAATGTGGTACTCTGTTATTCACTGCGCTTTTATGCTGATTGAATGATCTTAGCCCTGATTTTGAGTCGCCGACAGGTTTTGAGAAATCGCAGACAAATGCCTGAAATCACAGACAAATCGGTGCTCATTCACGTGAGTAACAACCTCACAGTGTGAACTATCAAAGACATGATCTGAGAGAATCACAGATGTGATGATTATAATCATGCCATGTGAAATGTGTTCTGATTGAAGAAAATTGAATCGTGAAATCCAAATCCTAAATTGAACCGAATCGAGTTCAGTGAATCATTACATCCCTACACTGCAGTTCACCAAAAGACTGATTGTGTTTAACAGAGGCCATTCATTTTCTTTAAGAAGCAAACTTATGAAAGTCGAGCTTTGCTGATCCGCACTGAATCTCATTCTTTGTTAAAAGGGAAGTGACTGAATTTTTTAATTATGATTCTTGCTGACTATTCTTGTCAATGCTCAGAATGAAGCTATGATTTTTTTATATATATATAAACCAGTGTTATAGTAATTATCTCATTCATCTACTGTATAAGAAAGCCTGATATAAGAATAGTGTATTATAATAGCTGTAACAGTGATTTCAGAGGGAAAAGAGGAGCTACTGTGATGTATAAAGTAATAAGTAAATGTTTATTGAATGTTGACACAAGTGTTTGTTTTATACTGTCTTTTGAAGTTAATCAAAAGAATGCTAGTCTGTGTTTAATGCTGAATCTTAATTATGAAGTGATTTTTTTTTTTTTAGAAATAAAATAATTTAAAATAACACAGGTTTTTAGTTATTCTGTTCCTCCTCATCATACATGTCCTACCTATACTAGCTGAATGGTAATGCAATTGTTAATTGATTTACAATCATGTATTCCTAATCATGAAAAAATTTATGAAATGTTAACTTTTAGACTGCTTATTAAAAATTAAACATTGCAAATATTTTTTTTTTGACTGCTTAAATTAGTTGGTCAATACAATATTCAAAGGACATCCTTCCTACAATGTAAATATAATAAATATAGTGTTTAATTATTCCTAATCATCATAATTATATCTAATTCATGTGTTTTAAATAACAGATCATTTAAATTAAATTTATTATGGAAAACATATCTCTTTTTTTAGCATTTTCTAACATCAAAATAATAAGCTCAATAACATTTTTATATTCATAATGAGTAGCAGATTTTTGAGAAGAAGCTCCTTTATAAAATACTAATGTTGTAGGTGAAGTACAATTGAAAATCATTTTACCAATCTTTTTCCCCAATCTTTTTTCAGACACATCTTTAAGGATTTTCTTGGTTGCATCAATGAAAAAGTTTAAAGTAGGTTAAACTTGTGCTTTTGCATAGTTAACATTTTCAATTAAAGGTCTCAAGCTAAAAATGGAAATGAAAAAGATTTATTTTTATTGGTGAATCTTGCCCTACAAGGCAGAGGTTAGGGATATTGGACTATAAAAGGTTGTTGACCATTGCTCTAAAACACAGGTGTCAAACTCAGTTCCAAAAGGGCCGCGGCTCTGCACAGTTTAGCTCCAACCCTAATTAAACACACCTGATCAAACTAATTGAGTCCTTCAGGCTTGTTTGAAACCTACAGGTAGGTGTGTTGGAGCAGGGTTGGAACTAAACTGTGCAGGGCTTCGGCCCTCCAGGAATTGAGTTTGACACCCCTGCTCTAAAAAGACACAAAGTAGAGATCACAGGTCTCTTGTATTAAAGACTACATGTTAATTCTACATTTTTGAAGCTGCTAGTTGACTTAAACAGTGGTGTTTTAAAATGTCCAAATCATTCAGACCGTTATTAAACAGAAGAACTGTAGCAACTCTTTAAGCTTTCCTTTACTGTGTTATTGATTGTATTTAATAAGCATTCAAATCATTGTGGGCCGGTTTGCAATAGCTATACTCTACTATCAGAGTATAGGGCCCCGATTGTTTTCTGCTGAGGGCCCCTGAATGTACAGGGCTGACCCTGAATAAATAATATTATTTTTATATATTAACTCTCCTAATGCATTCAGGTCTTTTCTGACCACAGATGAGTTGGAGAAAAAATGTTTACAAGCTTGAAGACCCTAAAAATAGGCATAATTTTTGTATGAGATATTTAAAGTTTTTTGAAAATGAGCTTCCAGGCAGTGTGTAACAGCTTTAAGTGAAAACATCCAGCTGAGGTTTACATCTGAAAGTGCACTATTAGATTAAGACTATTAATTCTTTAGCAAAATAGTCGACTCAGAGTCGAATAAATGAATCGTGTAGGGTTCGGATCTTTTGCCTGAACGCGTCGATTCAGTACATCACCAAATATGTACTTCCAGATCTGGTAAAATGTGAATGCGCCTTTCCCTCTAGACACTGGCGGAGCACGGGGGACCACAGAACTGATCATGACGTGAAGATGATGATCACTGACAGATGGAGATTCGGCTGCTGGGTAAAAAGGGTTAAAGTTTATTTTCACAACAACACTACAGCAAATCCAACCTAGTGCTGTGTTTGTTCCTGTCTTTTCTCAGATTTTTGATACAATAACCTATGCTGCATCGTGGGATTCCTTGGCCATTATGGGACTTCGTAAGTAACTTTCATAGTTCATATGGACCAGTTTCTTCTTCCTCTCGCCTCACTTTGTGTAGTTTGCTAAATATGTGTTTAATTGTGTGTTATAAGTTGTAATCGGCGCACATGGCTTGTAAACACTTATCTATTATAGATCACTGCTTGTGCTGTATCTCTCAGGTTAAATCTGTATGTGGCTATTCACATATTGTGTCCAAAACCATGTTGGAAACACAACGAGTGCTTCTTCCTTTACTGATTTAAATGCTTTTCTGAACTCGCGATCCTCTGTTGTTTGCCTTCGATACGGCCACTATCAACTGTTCCTCACAGACGGTCAATTTTCAAAATAGTTCAACTTTTGCCACTGTGTTGATTAATACTAAATGTGTGTCATTGTTATTACTTGGAGTTAGATTTAAGAGAGTAGGCTATATGCTGGTTTTTAACTGCATTGGGCTCTCACATACTCTGTGTGCTACTTCATAGCTGTGTTGGGCATTTCTCTCCGTCTCGCACTGAACCCAAATCACAAAAGACTGGGTAATCAGGCAAATCAGTGCAGATACGGGCTAAGAAGGGGTTTGGGAACAAATGAATTACTGAACAATTCATGTAGGAGTCGTTGGGATAGTCGGGTAAAAATAAATGCAGATTATAAGACAATGAAAGTGTTTTTTGACCGTGCATGCATATCAGCCGGTTGTTGGAGACCCTCAAAACCAAAATGTTTTGCTTTTATAATGCAAAATAGCGTCTCCTTAAAGATTTTAAAACATGCTACACTTTTTGTGTTACATGAAGCTCATTTTAGTTATTTAGTACTTTTATTATTTTTATTTATAGTTTTATTATTCTTTACTCAGTCTTAATATAATGACCTTTTGCCACACATTTTTGGGACTTATTTTTGTTGATT